GGGGTCTAAAAATAGACTTACGTGACCCAAGCTTAATTTTTATATTAAATTATTATTACGCACCCGTTTTCATTAAGAAGTATTAAATATTATTGTCGTATAAAGATTCAGTTTCGTTAGGAACGGTTATACGGCAAGAGAGGTTCAAAAAATTGCTCCATTCGATTCAAGCTAATTTACTAATTTTAAAAATTTCAAATTTTTTTTTTTTAAAACGACTTTTCAAAATGCGGCGTTATATGGGTAGTAGTCGAAAAAGGGATCCGATCCATATCATTTTCAATAGTGGTTGGGCCAAAGCTCGTTAACGTATCAAATTTCCTTAAAATATTTCGAAAATTGAGACATCTAGACTGAACACAAGACGGGTAGATGGATAGACAAGCTACGATACAAGGAGAGTCTATCTAAAGTCCTTCTGGGTGCGATATCACCGAACGCACAAACTTAACAGACTCTTCATCACAAGTGATGTAGGGTATTGAAAACAAAAAAAGTGCTACAAACAATATTTACAAGAAGTGTGTTAAACGGCCAATAGAAAAGTGCTCTCTGATGCTGGCTTTTATGTTTTTTCCACTTATCCGACAATTCGTAGATGGCACGACAAAAAAAGATATAGTAACTAAATCAGTCATCGAATCATTTGCATACATTTTCGTAAGAAGTGAAGAGTTGTTCAGCCAGTGCTTCTGCTACCGACGCGAACACATGCGATAATTGGAAGAACTCGAGTTTGACTAGAGTAGACCGCATCAGCTAACGCTTTCCAGTAGAAAATGGATCCACGAATGATCTTGGGCAGGCTTTTTGGATTTGGTGTCACTCGTTTTCTGAACAGTGAATGTTTCAAATCGATCTTGGTATGAATCGTTTCACCGCGCTTTTGAAACCAATGAGTGACCGTATTCTTCTCCTTCCATCCAATACAGAATATTATCCTACTATAAACTATTTAGTCTCGCAATCCATCAGATAAGTACGGAAGAAAAACATTAAAATCACATATGGGCAAATTCCGGTTTCATATTCACGTAGCAAATTAATTAATTTCGCTATTTATAGTGATCAATAATAAATTTATGTCATACCATGTCTTCGATATAAATTTGAAAGATTTCCTATAACCTTTTCCAGTCCCATGGGTATATTTTATCTATTATTTTGGAAAATTTTATTTCCATCATCTCGTTGTGTGCCGCTTTTCCTACATCGCTTATCGTAATAATCGTAGATCCCCCATAAACTGTGTAATCTTTTCGTCAGTGAAGTTTTTGAGACATCTTCAAAAGCAAGCACTTGTACGGAGAGAAAGTTCGTCTAATCTCTACATTTTTATGAAGGGAAAGAAAGTAAATTACTTGGTAAATTTGGATCACGCAGAGTGATGCGTTGGGCTCACTCTCACTGCCTTTACATCAAAGCAGTGTATAATTTCTGGGGCATTATTATCGAAACGAATGAATAACTGAACTGAGCGAACCGGGTATAGGGTGTAGGATATATGCTGAGCGCTCCCGCCTTTCTCTCGACTTTCTCCCGACTTATTCTTCTAGGTTCTTATGTATTAATTAGTCTTGGAATTTATGTATGCATTTGTCTTTTTTTTTTTTTGATCCGATTAAACTGTAACAATAACAATAAGAATAATAATAATATATTTATTTTGTTTTGATCGTATGATCATCTTTTTCAATCTTTTAGTAAGGACTTTTTTTTAAATTTCTTTTTTTAAGATCTGGTGCATTGCACAAATGAGCCTAATGTCTCGATACCGCATTTGGCCAACTTACTTATTGAGCGATCACAAAATACCAACTGGGTGGTGGTCTATAAGGCTCTAATAACAACACATCACTTAATGGCGTATGGGAATGAGGTAGGTAATCAATGCTTCTTCTTACACTTGTGTATATGTCGGTGTTATGTGTTTATAAAATTCTTCCGTCTCTTCCTTTATTCGCAGCGTTTTATGCAGTATTTAGCGTCATCAAATTCCACATTTAATTTAAGTAACTTTCTGGACAAAGGCGGAGTACAAGGTAAACAAAATTCTGAAATCCATGTTGCAATCATAGATTTTGCGACAGTGACTACTAGTACTACTACTATTCTTCTATGTAAATATGTAATCTTTAAATTTTCTGTTTTTTGTTTTCCAATTTTTTTTGTTTTTTTCACTGTTCACCGAGTTTTTACTTCCCTTTTTTTAATTATTATTATTTTTTTTTAATTTTTATTCTTTATGGTAACAATAGATGCTTTTTTTTATGAAATTTTCTTTCTTTTCTTTTCTTTTTTTTCATTTTTCTTTTTAATTTTTAATTTATTTTACATGTAATAAAATATATATATGCTATAATTTGTTGTTTCTATTTGTTGTTGTTTTGTTGTTTGGTAATAAATTAATTGAAATTAATTTTTTTTTTTTTTCGTTTCGTTTCGTTTATATCAATCAAACATTTCAATCAACAACAAATCATAAACATTTTTTTTTTTTGTTTTTATGCTTTAATCGTTCTGTGTAACTTTAACGGTATAATAAACTCTCTCCCAACCCCGTTCTACTCTCTTATTACAACTCACTTACATATAATGTTAACTATATTATTTTGTAATATTTATTATATTAAAACAAAAAAAAATTAATATTAAAAAAAAAAAATGCTTACAAAAACAAAAAACAATTCCGTCTTGATAATGTAAAATATGCTTAAAACGAGATGGTGGCATGTCGGTACCGGGTGGAAGAATGGGTGAGTAAATCGAAATCTATTCTTTTAGATCATTTTAAACAAATTAATGTAGTTCCTTAGTTCAATTTCATAGTATCTTTGTTGTAGCTTTTTTTTAGTTTTCTTGTTCTTATTATTATTATTATGATTCTATGTAAATTTTTGCCAAATAATTTCCAGTTATACTAAATGTCAATTAAAAAAAAATAAAAAAATAAAAAAATAAAAAAAACATTTTCCTTAAGAAGTATTTCTCTATAATTTTTTTTTTTCTGTTTTTTCTTAATTTCCTTTATTTAAATTAAAATGTATATAATATATGTACGAAATATTGTGTTTCGCACAATCTAGGTTATGATATGTCACCGTTTATACGACGCTATGCTAAATATTTAAATGAGAAATCTTTATCTTATCGTGCTATGGCGTTTGATTTCTGTAAAGTTAAGCGTGGGTAAGTGTGTTTGTGTGTTTAAAGGATATTTACTTTTCAAGTTTGAATTGTGCATTTTTTTCTTTTTTTTTTGTATCCAATCTTATGCTTTGCAGAAAAGAAGAAGGTTCATTGCGTACCATGAATGCTGATAAATTATTGAAAACCCTGCCAGTGTTACAGGCTCAATTGGACGCGCTACTTGAATTCGATTGTCAGGCCAATGATTTAACAAATGGTAAATATTAATTATATAATGCTATGTAAAACGGTCGAACGACAAATGCAGTTCCTCAATATATATATACGATTGTCTCTCTCTCGCTCTCTCTCTCTCGTCATAAATGCAACTTTGATATTTTCAAACAAAAAGATTATGGATCGATTAATATGATCTTGGAAGTCTAAAGGTTTTTAAAGTTATAAACCAAAAGATGAAACCTGTCGATGTATTTTCACATAAATAATGTGAAGTGAAAATGCAAGTTATGGCGAAAATAATTCGCAGATGACATGCTATAAATTCCATAGCTTTCGCTACAATTGCGGGGCTTATCGAACCCAGCTCTTTCCCTATTTGGACGAGGTGTGTCACAATTGAACAAGTTATATAACATGACTTTCACAAGAACATTCAATAGTTTTGCTTAACCTAATCCTTTCAGATCTTTGATTTATTATTATCTCTAGTATTATCTCTATATATCTATATATAGATATATATCCTTGATATACATAGTTCGTCCAGATGTAAGCATTGAGATAGATCTAGTTCTTATTATATCGATCGATCTATATACACATATAGACATATATAGATATATATTTATCCGCACACATCCGCATAAAGTTAATATATCGTCGTTTAATACAAATAGCGTAAGATGTAATGTAATAGTAATAAGTGTTTAAAATCAACTGATTTTGGGAATCAATGTTTGTTTATTTGCTATTTGGATAACCTATTATCATGCGATTGAATTGTAATTCGATTTCGATTCTCTTTTACGTTTGTCTTTCAGGTGTCATTAATATGTCGTTTATGTTATTGTTTCGTGATCTCATACGTTTGTTTGCTTGTTACAATGACGGCATTATAAATTTATTGGAAAAATATTTCGATATGAATAAAAAGCATGCTCGCGAAGCTTTGGATTTATATAAAAAATTTCTAGTGCGTATGGATCGTGTTGGCGAATTTTTAAAAGTGGCGGAGGTAAGCGTCGATTAATTCATTTATCACAATAGACTTTATTCTAACATTTTGCTAAGCAATCTGAACTTTTGCAATCGTAATTAGATTCTTGCGAGTAGTGTGTGACAGTGAATAAAACAAATCTACTCGGAATAAAAATAAACTCAAATGAATTAAAAATTTTCAAATAAAAGAAAAAATTCCCCTAATGGTTTTAACTTGACCTTCGAAGTTGATTTAGTTTGATTTTTTTGAGACCATGTAAAATTTGATTTAGTTATTGTAACTCTACAATATAAGCTTTGATACTGGAAAGTGAATAATAGTTGGTTGACTTGGACTCCCAGGAAAGTCTAATCTTGATCAGCGGATCAGCCAGAAAAGAAAAAGTTAAAAAAAAATGTAGTTGAAAATACTGGCATTTGGGTTAAAGATAAATTTCATTTTGATTCCGCTTTCATGTAATTCTCAATATGCATGTCTGTCTGTCCAAGAATTTTGCTAACTACAATTATCTTTGACTCTTACAATAATTGCCCAATTAAAAGGACCTTTTGTCCAGATTTTTTTTTTTTTTTTTTGCTATTAAGAAAGAATTAATCTCGGTGTGTACGGTAGTCATTTTAAAATTAATCTATTTTTACGCAGATAATATTTCTTCATTTGAGGAGTGTATAAAATGGTTTGAAACATTCTGTCTTGTGTTTGCCTTATGATAAATAAGCATAAAATCTCAAAAGAGTAAAATTAAAAAAAAAAATTTAATTTAATTACCCATAACTTTGTGCGGGCATGGCCGAATGGTCCAATTTTTGGACCTACAGAGTAGAGTGTTTCGTTAAGTAAATGTGGAAAACTTTGAACTTTAATAATTTCCGAGTAAAGAGCAAAAAACCCAAAAATTGTTCAGTCTACGCTCCACTACACACTTCTGCTCTGATCAATTTGGCAAATGCATGAGCAGACATCAGGCGGATAGATGGACGTACAAACTTCGATAGATTCAGAACAATTTCCAATCGATAAAATAATAGAAGAGGCAGTCTTCAGCTCTTGCGGGTGTTATCCTGTACCGCAACTGGTGTATGATGTAAATAGAATTAGAGAATGTGGAAAAAAATTGATGTTTGCCGAAGACAACTAGTTTTTGGGACCATGCTGCAGTGTTAGAAAAAAAAGAAAGGATTTTAGACGGTCACATCATTAGACAAACGCAAATGGTTTTCTATTTGGAAGGGAGAAATGAATAGTTTTCAAAAAGGATCTCATTTTATATATAATTTCAGAATGTCGGTATTGATAAGGGTGATATTCCGGATTTAACTAAAGCACCCAGCTCATTACTGGATGCTCTAGAACAACATTTGGCTGCTTTGGAAGGACGTAAAGTATCTGCTGCCAATACACCGACTCAATCAGCCAGGTTGGTAATTGTGGTCCAAAGTAAATATATTTTTGAAAAAAAACTCCATGAAATTTTGAGTATTTTATTTTATTTTATTCATTATTTATTTTATTTCATTTATCGCTTTCTTTTTCTTAATTTCTTCCGTCTAACATACTTTAATTTCTTATTAATAAAAAACGCTCTGTTACCCGAATAAATCCTGCCTTTATGTGATTTTGGTTGCGTCATTATTTGTTTATATATATCTTTGCTTTAATATTATCATTTTTCAATTCTTAAATGTGTTCGTTTTGCAAAAAAAAAAAAAAACAAAAAAAAAATATATATATAAAAAAAAAAAATAAAAAAATAAAAAAAAAATCAAATACAAATAGCAACCAAAAGAACTTTAAATCCGCTGTCTCTGCCCTCTCTACTACTAGCACTGCTTTCGGTTCAGCTGCGGCTTCTAGTAAATTTGATAATAGCAACGGCATCGATGAACAGTTAAAAGCTCAGGCATTGGCTGATGAAGAAGCGGCCATGAATCAATATAAAGTTAGTTATATGAAATTGAATATAAAAGAAAAAAAATTAATTTTATTTTCATATCGTTTTAGTCGAAAGTATCATCGCCCACCAGCGGCGGTGCTGGTGCCAACGCCGCATTAACAAATCCTTTCTTATCGTCACCACCAGCTACGGGAGCTGGTGCTCCGATAGTTGATTTGTTTGGTGCTGCTACGGCTCAGCCAGGTACAGCTGGCTCCACCGCTGCTGCTGGCTCCGCCACGAAGGCTTCAGATGATTTATTACAATTGGGTAATCCCTTTGCTGATATGTTTGATGCCCCTGGTGCAGCAGCTGCCACAGGTGCTAATAATATTTGGATGCATAATAATGGTAGCACAATTTTTAGTTTTCTTAATTTTTTTCTTTAACTTTTTTACTTCAGAAGGAATTTCTTTATATTAAGTTTTTTTTGTATCTCTTTTTTCATACCAAACTTCCTCGTCTTATATATGGATAAGTAAGCTTGGAATTGATTTAATGCAGAAAAAGTTTTCGAAACATTGGACTTGTCAAGAATTATACTCGATCCATTTCAATCTATTCGATCTGCATTGGTATTGCTCTCTAAGAAGCAAATTATATTCGATGGTGACCTAATCTTTCATACCGATTACCATCATCGTGAAAAAGACTGAAAAGAGGAAAAGAACTAAATTAATGGTTGGACGCGGCTGAAGGGGAGAGAAGTTTTTATAATGCCTGTGTAGCACTGCCCAATGAGTAACAAGCAAAATTATTCACAATTTTTCTCACATAGGCGTATGAGCACGCTGTAGGCATGTCTTTTGACTGGTTTTAGGTTATTTTCAAATTCTTTTGAGAATTTATAGGAGATATTTTCAATGTCTACCACAGATATCACGCAGCTGGGTACAGACGGGCGCATGAATAGACGTACAGACGGACACACAAAGGTGCACTCCGAATATGAATTGAAACTCCTTTGAGATTTACGAAGTCTGCTTCTGCGCGTTATAAAGGTACTGAAGAAAAAAAAACAAGACGTGACCAAGTTTCTTCATTTTTCTTTTGCACACATACTACAGCGTCGCCCATAGAATAAACGCTAAAATTTTGGCAGATTTATCTGTTGTAGTTTATGACTAAGGAGTGAAAAAGCAACTTTTTGTTCGTTTTGAAAACAGAAGTGTTCTCAGTTTAGGTGGTACTGTAGGTGCGTCCTTAGACAACCTGCGTGCAAGCAGTTCCAATGTTTCTGCCGAACTTGATGTCGAAAACTTTATTTTTACATCGAGGACGGTTTACGACGGATATTGCACAGACGAACAGACGGACAGACGGACATGTTTAAACCGATTTAGATCAAAAAGGCTCTTCGCTCTTCGCGTTGCAAATGTTTTGACAAAATCACAAAGAATGCCATCCCATGATGATGGTTGCAACAAATTTGAAGGTTTTTCGAAATTTTAGCTTAACGAAAAATGTTTTAAATCGATTCCTTTAGTATTTTATTGCCAATAATGAATTTTGAGAAAATTTCCTTATTAAACCATAATTTTTAAGTATATATTTGTTTGAATTTTGTATATAACCATTTTCAGGTTTCAATGGTTCTTCAGTACCTTCGGCGGCCGCCAACGCATTTGTCTCTGATAGTAATTTCTCATCGGTCTTTGGTAATACCGAACCGGCCGGTAAGTTGTATTATTATTTATCCTTTTTTTTGTCTTATTTATTTAATATGTTCTTGAGAAACAGTTGTTTGTTATATATATATATATTTCTCGAAACTTTATTTTGAAAACTTCCTCTCCCTTATTACTCACTGCCTTTGTTTAAATGAATTGTTATTTCCTAATAATAAATAAAACATTTTATAAAAACTTGTACACAAAATTTTATGCATTTTGAAAAATTTTTCTAATGACAACACATCTATTTAAATACATATTTTTTTTTTTTTTGTTTATTTATTTAATTACATTCTCGAAATTTCGTTGAATTTATTTATTTTTTTTTTTTGGTTTCATTTTGTAGTTTTTGTTTGAATGTTTGTTTACATTGTTTACTTTACATGATTTTTTTTGTCGAAAATTTTTTAATATAATACTAAACCAGCTTTATTAACAGCATGCGGTTTCAAAGAGAATCTAACAAATTTCTCCAACTATACATACTATTAAAATAAACAGTAAAAAAGAAAGAAGAAAAAGAAAGAGAAAAGAGCAGATGAGGTACTCTAAGCAATGGAAATCTCCTATTTTTCAAGCATTTCATAGGAAAGAGTTGTTCCCCGCAAAGTGATTCTGCAACTTTTTGCAGAAAAATCCTCTTTCGACCTTAGTTTCTAGGATAAGGTTTAACTTTAATATTATTATTAGATTTCTTAGGTAAATTCATGTTTCAAACCTATTGAATTAAGTCGTCCTTGTCTTACGGATTCGAAGTAAAGCGTATATCCCCTTAACCTGTTTAAAATGCTTACTCGGCTTAGTCAGCAGCTCATTCAATTTTGTGATCTTTATGACATATATTTCTGTCCCTAAACGCTTAATCTAGGCCCTATTCCTCCCATCTAGTTTTAGAGATCCATAAGTAAATAGGCCAACTTTGTTGCCTCATCTCTATCTAAACTTGAACATTCTTAAGTACCTCGATATTCCGGGTATTGTCTTGTTAGTTCCGCTGAAAATATTAAGTCAAAAAATAAAGCGGATTGGCCCGTTTTGAAAGCGTCGTTTTAAGAGAAAAACTTAACTTTGGTAGGATTGGCATAATTACGATCGGTAAAGAAAAAGATTCTTTAAGAGAAAAACTTAGAACAAGTAGCGTTAGCATAACAACGCCCGGTATTGAAAAAGATTCTTTGAGAGAACAACTAAAGGCAGGCAGGATTAGCACAACTGTGTATCGGTTTCAAGTAAATGCTACAAGCGAAAAGTCTAAAGGACGTACGCCTCTTTTTGGAGCGATTTCTATAAACCCTATTAATAATTAATTAGAAAACCTAAAAAACATAAATTTCGATTATATTCGGTTGCTGACCAATTTTTTATACCCACTACTTTAAAAAAAAATCCATATTCTACTATAGTGGATGGGCCTGGCAAATATTGGCACTTATACCGTAGAACCATTCGTAGAATATAGGGGGAAGTATTGAGCGCTTTATTTGCTGTGAGTTGCTAGAGTAACGATCAAAAAACTTTATTTTTTTTTTAATTTTGAAACACGGAGCTTTTTAAATTTATGTAGGGTCGTAGACGTGTTCTTCGACTGACTGTTTTCAGTATCTTGAAAGGCAGCTTGAGCGCTTATTTACCACGGACACACGAACAGGTACGTTTGTAGTTTGAGCGTTTGAGCAATGGATCTATTTATTTTTTTTCGATAGACCGGTCTTCAATAGCGACGTGCTTGTGAGACTTTCAATATTTTTCCCCAATTTGAAGTGAATATCTTAATTTCTGCGATCGGCAGTTTCTTCACGACGGGCAAAAGCAAAACTGGACTTAATATCGGATAGACACGTTATGGTTGATTTCGATTTTAAAATTTTGATATATATATATATACTTTATGGGCTAATTGAATTTTGCAAATGAAAAAATTTGCAAAGTTTTATTAGCGGATATAAAATGTTTTTCGGATCGAAACTCGCCATTTTTATTCATTGCAATTATAGATGCGCAACTTTTTTGCGCATCCTGACGCCCTGCCATGCCCACATATGATAGGCATCCCTCGCATCCCCATGGACTTGTTTAACTGCCTTTATGTAATAGTTCTACCTGTGTAATATACCTACGAGAAAAAGAGTTTAGTTACATTCAAGGAACTTTTCTGAAGCAGGAGGGATTGTTATACTAAACAAATTAAGTTTTTACGATCAAGTCTGGCATTTAAGATTGATTATAATTTGAATGGCTTTTTTTTTTTTGATATTTTGAAATAATTTCTATTATTTTATAATTTATTTATAAAACAAATTTTTATTGGTTCTTTTTTTACTTTTTTTTTTTTTTTTTAAAAAAAAAAAAAAAAAACGAAATCGCCGAAAAATTGTTGGCTTAAAAAAAAAACACATTTTTAAATTTATATATGGAAACTGAAGGAGCAGCATTACCAAATCCCTTTTTTGATTCAATGGAACCCCAGTCTTTATTTAATATTACCACAAATTCCACCAATACCATCAACACCACTTCCAATATCGTCACTTTGTTTACGACATCAGCAAACTCCATCGCCACAACCTCAACCATCAATAACAATACCACAATGATTCCTACTATCTGCTCTACCAACATCCAAAATACGTCGTCAACGACTACCAATTCGAATCTGTTTATGACAACTAGTATGTCATCTAATCAACCAACATCTCCGCCACCAGGTGAAATGTTGATATTTATTTTTTCCAATTTTTTTTTTTTTTTTTTGTTATATATATATCATCATCATCACCCTATTGCCAAAATGTTGCCAAGTACTTGTCTACGCTTCTCTTCCGTTTCGTTCTATTTGTGTACCGTTTTTATGTATGGTAGACGAACATTATAATGATATCCTAAATAATTCGTTGTTTTGTTTTGTTTGTGTTTTTTAATTCTATGTTTTGTTGTATATGGTTTCTAATACACTTTCTCATTTATTTTCCAATGATTTGTTCACTTGTTTCAAGATTTGTTCATTTTTTTTTTTTTTCAGTTGTTTTTGTTTCAATTATTAATAATGTTTTCCTGTAGCGAAATGTTTTTGAATCTCTTTTTTTTTTTTAAATATCACTCTTAGTTTTAATAATACATATATATGTACACGTATGTGCCTAGTACAATGTATTTACATTTTATGCGGAATATTTGAAAGTTAATGAAAGTTTCTTGCGAGAAACTAAAAATTTAAAAATGTAAGTCGAAAGCACTTTTCCAATGCTTGAGCTAATCATGAGCTAGCGTGCCGTGGATGATGAATGATGAATGTCAATTCCCAATTTGCGAATGCGTCTAATGAAAGTAAAGCAAAAATTAGAGGTTAGATTCAATTTAAGGAAAATTTCATTTTTTCGATTATCCGAATAAAAAAAAAAAAAAAAACCAATTATTTTTTCACACGGTGGTTGAATACGTTCTTTAGAAAGCCATGCGAAAAAATCATGTAAAAAATAAATTCGACATGTGATAAATTTAAAAGGATATGTCTTCCTCAATCTTGAAAAATCGCGTGAGACAACGAAACTGTAAATATTTTCCCAAAAAATCGTGTAAAAGAAAGTAATACAAAATATCAAAATTTGTGTACAGTGAAAATTCAGTCCATAAGTACAACATATCAAAATTGAAATTAAAATGACTATGATGAATGAAAATCAATTTCGAAAGCGTCTATTATGGGTTGGACCGTATCAACAAATGAACATACATTTTTTGAATCTTATTGAAATTGTTTTTTGTAACCTACAAACTGAACAATCTAGTACAAGATAACTCCTAGATAACGAAATGCTGTGTTCACGTTGAAGGAGATAAGGAAAAAAAGTGATTTCAAAATTTTGGTAGAAGAGCAAGTTCAAGTCTTGTGTGAAACACGATTTTCTTCCGGATTTAAAGGGTGTGCAAGAAGTTACTTTCGCAAATCCGCCTAATTTTTCAGAAAGCTTAGGCATAATAATTTTACCCTCTTTGTTTTTTATTAAGTCTAGCAGATCAGGGATGGGTTTGCGGTTCTCGATCTAGTGGTTTCAATATATGTCAATTGGCCGCAATTTTATGATCGAAAGATTTTTTTACTCGATAGTAAGAGAAATGCATACTTGAGCCACAGCTGTAAACTCACTACTCAAGACAACGCGGCGGTTTCATTTAATGCAAATTAGTTCGGCCCGGATGCCAAGGCAAAAAAATCACGCCAAAATATTCTTTTCGTAAAAATTATATTTTTATTGAATCTCAACTTCTTTCTCGTAAATTTCATTTTGCTATAAGGTCTGAATCAAGATAAATTGTCAACAAATTGGATTGATTTCCGTCATACTACTAAGATTGAAAATTAAGGTCAATTTAATTGTATTTTGTTTAAATCTATTCAATTTCATTTTGTCGCCTTCAAAGCGATCTCCCTCAGATACTTTGCACTTAGGCCAACTTTTTTTCTAATCCTCGAAACTGTTGTTATAGTCGATTTCGGGAATAGGCTTGAAAGCTTTCAACGATTCAGCTTGTATCCCAATCGAGTTAAAGCGTTGTTCTTAGAGTAATCCTTTCGAATTTAGCAAATAGCCAGAAGGTACAGTGAGTTAAATTTTTTAACGATCTGGGTTAAATTTTTAATGAAATGGTCCCGAGGTATCAATATATTAATTTTACGCGATTTTTTTTAGTACCCATTGCCGTTTGACGCGTGTCAGGCTTAAAATTCTTTTAAAATGTCGTTGAGTGATCCCTTTGAAATGCCAACAGAGACAGGAAGGTCGTTATCTACGTTTGAACACCAGTTCTTTGATTGAACGTTGGTTATGAAGAGAATTGCAAGGTTACAATGCTTTCAGTGATTTTCTGATATAGTTTTTCGATCCATCTTAGAAATTATTCTCGGGAAGCGTTCTTAAATATTCGCTACGGGCCAGAAGGGTTACGCTAGAAATAAAGTAAGTACTGTTTTAAAGCATGAGCAAGAATTCTTAAGAAGCTAAACGTGCATATCAAGAAAGAAGGCATAAAGAGAAGTAGCAGTATACCTATGTAAGCCGGTTTTGTATTATAAGTCAAGCACTCTTAAGCCTAAGCGCATTAATAAAAAAAAAAAAAATTACTAAAAAACTTATAGGAGTCGGTACATTGTCGTGACGAAAAATCGTATAGTCTGGTAATCAACTAGCAAGGTTGCCGCCTCCCACTTTTAGCTAACAGTTCAGAGATTTCAGTTCGGAATACTTGAGTACCTGTTTCATTAGTTCGAAAGAAACTCATGTCATAACCTCTTGTCCATTCTATTGTTCCGAACACTTTCTTATCAAATGATTTACGTGTTAACTTTCGTCTTCACCTTAGTTGATTGATTCGAATCAATAATCAATGCACCCAAAAGAGAAACTGATTTTATGACCTGCTGCGTCGATTGTATACTACCGAACACTTACTTACCTTGCCATTGAATCTGTACGTTCCTCTTTAGTGTATAAAATTTCAATATGAATTTTTTGTCATATCTTCCTGGTACACAGGTGTACTTTGAACTAAGGACTAGCGCTATTGGAAATGCTTGGGATCGGTCTACTTTTTCGACCACTCTGCATATATAAACACTTATTACGAAAAGCTGTTATGGGGAAAATAATTGCAAAGTCCGAAAATTTTCGACAAAACTCACTGAGTAGTAGTAATTCTACTTCATTCTAAATTGATATGAGAACTTTGGTCCGGCGGGGAAAATTTTTGATTCCCCTCTCATATAATATAAATAGTGATGCTTTATATATTATAATTTTCAACGCAAATTGGTTCATAATAGTAAATTGGCAAAGAAATTAATCTTATTCGCAACTTTGGACCACATAGATCTAGCTTTTGAATGCCACCGCATATAAAGATTCTCAGGAAAAAAGTTGCGAAAAAATCCTATTAACATTTTAAAATGAAAATTTATTCATGATAGTAATTTGACATAAAAATTAAGTGGATCCAATTTGAACCACATGCGTAGATCTCTTCAACCCCACTTCATATAAGATTTCTTGTGAACATTAAGGCCTTGATTAATAAAATTAAATTTTAATATATTACAATAAAAATTGGTTCGTAGTAGCGAAACGTATAAACGATAAGGAATCGGAATCACATAGGCCTATTTTTTAGACCCCCACATATATAGGGTTTTTCAAGAGAGGACTAAGGCCCTATAGGGAATGAAATTTTAATTTAAAGCTTTCTTATGGTGAAGTAAGTTAGTAAGTTTGTTAAATTCGTATATCGTCACGCGATGTTTTGGGCATCCTGGCATGCTCGGTATATCTTTGCATGAAGATATTGTGCAATTTTTGATATATTGTTATCAAAACTAATGAATAACTCCCAGGACGAAGTATAGGTGTAGGGTGTGTAATGGTCGACCTTGCCTGACTGTAATGTTCTTACATGTTTTTTTAAAATATTTTTTGGAACAATCGTAGCATGCCAGCGACAAAAGAGTTTAGCACCGGTGCGTTCGCAAACCACTTATGAATCTATTTTTTCGGAAGACGAAAGAGGCCATCATCTATGAAAACTTTAAATATCGCCTGTCAATGTGAAAGTGAAAGCTAACTTTCAGTTCAGAAATCATATGGGTTGTCCACAGTGATGCCATGTCTATATCAGACCACAAAAATGCTTATTGAGTGACAGGTTATTTTTGCTTGAGACGATTAGAGATAGAAAACAATAGGAAGAGAGAATAAACAATTTTTCATTTATGCTACTTCTCTCATTGCTTGCTAACATTATAAATATAAAACTATCTCTTTCTCAACTTCAATTATAAAAATTAAAAATCGAAATCAAATTATCTAGCAACCGGTAGTGATTATTGAAAATATGATTTCTAATCGATTTTTCACTGATTTCTTTCAAACATATATTAGGGTGATTTTCAATAAGATAGGGTACGCCATTGTATCTAGTATACTAAGTTGATTGATATAAACGGTGGTGGTTATAAGTATATCGAAAGAGGAGAAAATGTTTTCGAAAAATCCTTTTGCTTGCTTTTTCTCTCTGCTATGGCATTGCATTCATAAACAATCTAACAACAAATTAATTAAAAAAGAAAAAAACGTTTGTATGTTTATAATTTTTTAATTTTGTAAATAATATTTCTTCTGTTCATTGTTCACATAAATTGAAAATAAAATTTAGAATTAAAATTTAAAAAAAAATATTTATTATTTTGTAAATGTATATTTTTTCTCTTTCTCTCTTTTTTTATGTTTTATTTTATGTCAATATATATATATAAAAAAATCATTGAAAAACCATATGAAATTATAACCAAACTAAAAAAAAAAAATAATTTTCATAATATTATATACATATATATATATATATATATGTATTTATATTTATATATATATATATATATATATATATATTTTTATATAAAAATATTCAAATAATGTGGTGGCACAAAAAATTACTTAATAAAAAATATCTAACAAAACTAAATATCGAAATCAATGAAACAAAAAAAAAAAAAAAAAATTAAATTATATATAATAAATAATAAAAACTAAAAACAAAAAAACTGTATAAATAAATAAAACGGGTAAAAACGATAATACGATATATAACGGGCTTATGTGTATTTATTTAATTTATTTATTTAATTATTTTTCATTTCCCCACTTTTTCTTGTTGTTGGTTTTTGTCACGGTTTTGGGTTTTACATATATCTATCACGTATGTATATATATACACATAAACGCATAAAAAACTCTCATACGCGTGGGCGTATTTGTTTTTTTTTTTTGTGTGCGTGTGTGTGTGCGTGTGGGTATTTGTGTGTGTGGGTATTTGTGTTCGTGCGTGCATGCGTGTGTGCGTGTGTCGCTTATGTGTGTGTGTGTGTGTGTGTGTGTGTTTGCGTGCGGATGTACTTGGATGTATGCCTATAACTGGATGTTGCACTTTTTGTGACTTTTTTTCCTCTTTTGATTGTTTTGGTTTGACTTGAAAAACAACGACGCTTTTGAATTTATATATATTTATATATATCATTTTTTTGTAAATCACAAAATTCACAAAAAAAAAACCAAAAAACAAAACTCTTGTGCTTTAAAATCCACCAAAAAAAAAAAAAAAAAATCACACACACATAACCTTTACTCTCAACAAAATTCCACGACAACGAACATAACCTCAATAATAAAACTAAAATACATAATAAAAAAAAAGGCTTTGATGCTTTGGGTGATGTATTGAAACCCGGCATAACAACGTCAGCAAATCAAACAAATGTTGTTACTTCAGGTGGCGTTATGCAAGATCACCAGCAATTGCAACAACAACAACAACAACAGCAGCAACAACAACAACAACAAACAGCCACAACCGGAAAGATCCTAACCGGCGACCTGGATAGTTCTCTAATGTCATTAGTAGAAAATTTAAATATTAACAAATCGGCTACTAGTACAAAGTGAGTAATAAAATAGAAAACACATTAAAGAAAAAAAGAGAAGAAAAACAAAAAAAAAAGAACAAAAAAATATATGAGAAAAAGTGTCTTTTTCTATGTATACCTTAACAACACTTCACTTCAATTCAATTCAATTCACTTCACTTCAATTCACTTCACTTCAAGTAACTTCAGAAACTTTTTCTTTCAAAACTTTTTTTATTTGAAGTGTTTTGTGTTTTTTCTTTGTTTCCGGTTTTTTTTTTTTTTTCTTTTCTTTTGTCTAAACTTTCTTTCTTGGAATGTTTCTTTACTCATATATATGTTTATATAATACACAACCAGTTCTTTGACCATCTTCTAGCTATCTTTCTTTCTTACTTTCTTACTTACTTTCTCCTACTCTCTCTTTCTCTTCTCTATTTCTCTGTATCATTGAGAATATGCATCTTTCATTCTTCATTCTTCTTAGACCTGTGCAATGGAATTCACCGAAAAATACAGCGAAACCCGGTGCTAATTGGACACCGCAACCTATGGCTGCCACAACTGGCGCTGGCTATCGTCCAATGGTGAGTGTCTCTTGTTGAGTCTTGAGTCTTTCTCTCTCTCTCTCTCTCTCTCTCTCTCTCTCTCTCTTTATCTCTCTCTCTCTATCTCTATCTCTCTCTCCGTATCTCTCTCGCAACGTTTACCAGAAACTGTTTTTCTCTTACTCTACTACTATTACCACCACGAACACCACTACCACTACCACTACTATTACTATCACTATTATCACTATTTTTCTATTCTATATTAACACCACGTTAATTTTTTCGTTATTTGTTTTTCAATTATTTATTAATTATGTATATGTATCTTTATTTCCATACCGTGAGCGTTGTAATCTTTTCATACCCATCACCGAAGGATGAGGGGTTTATTCATTTTGTAAAAACGTTTGCCAACCCCAGAAAGATTCTTCAGAGACCCCGTAGGATATATGCATCCTTGATTAGCATCGAATTCTGAACCAATTTAAGCAAGTCCGTCTGTCCGTCTATGAAATGGTTTGTTGTAAACATTCTCCACGCCCCAAAAATGAAGCTATCGTCTTCAAGTATGGCAGAAACGTTGGAAGTTCTTGCATACAGATCAGTAATGAAAATGACGCAAACCAGTTAAAGGATACGGCTACAGTATTGCGTAAAGTGAGAGCAACTCTGCTTTTTAAAAGAAAGGTTAAATTTTCGATTAATACTCAAGAACTGTGGCAGATAAATGTAAAATAAATGTATAAAAATTTAAACGCATATTCTATGGGCGATGCTGTAGTACCTGTGCAAAAATGCCAAGTCTACCTAAGACTGTAAAGCACCAAAATTTAATTTGTGTTTTCAATACCTTTATAACGTGTGAAAGCAAGCTGTAAAAACCCCATAAAATTTGTAATTCTTGTCCAGTTTCAAATACGGAATGCATCTAAGCATGTCCGTCCATTTGTCTAATCATGTGCTCGTCCGCCTAACTATCGTAATACCTGGCATGAAGATATCGTCAATAAATTTGCCAAAAGAATTTGATGGTTATCTACACCGGTCGAAGGACATGCCTACAATGCCCATACCCCAATGAACATCTTTTTGCTTTGTTACTTCTGAAGTACAACATATATATACCTCATATAAACATTCATTTTTATTCGAAAAATAGGTAAAATCAGCCGCACCCACCCAATATTATAGAATATGAAAATGTACGTATTTTCCTTTTCCCTAGGATGAAGGTGACGGGTATAACAAATTCGGTCACGACTGAATATAATTTTCTTGCGTTTTTTTTTTTTTTCTTCTTCTCCTTCTCTTCTAATGCTCTTTTAGTCTTTACGTATTTTTTTGGGAGTTTTGTGCCAATTTCAATACTAATTACATTAATTGAATATTGGAAGCGAACACTGAATGAACATAACAGTGCAAGCTACAGCTATTGTGATCTGTCCGAAACATGGGTGTGTGTTATGTTCAGTCAGTTGTATTTTCTTTCACATGATAAAAATAATTTCTAATATTTTACTTTGCTTCTTCTTTCATTCATTTCACTGTTAGTGTTTTTTAAATTTATACTTTGTTTTTTTTTCTTGTATTTAATAAATTATTTCTTTATACTATAGTTTACATATAATAATAGTCTCTATTTTAGAGAATATTTTATTCTTAGATATTCTAAATAAGCTTTGAATGTTTATTTACGTATCATCTTTGGATGAAGGATCAAAAAAAAAAAAAAAAAAAAAAAAATAAGAAAAGCCGTTGTGAGTAGGTTTGCTGTTGTACCCCGGTAACTTTTTTTTTTTTTTCTTCATTAAAGTAGGTTGTAATGGGTGGTAAGTTATAACTTCTTGTTCAAACTATTGGGGTTTTGAAGCTGTAATCTTATGTGCAACAAGTACAAGTGTTGTAGTGATCAACGGTCCCATTTTGCTTGACACTGTTATTAATATAACGAGTTTTCCAAATAAAGCTTTATATATGGGAAAGGGGTTGAAAAAGTGATCCGAGCCGAATTATTTTTAAAAAGCATTCACCATGAAAGTAGATGAAAAATTTTCGACCTGTAGTTTGAATACAAAAATACAAGATGGACAGATTGACCGAGGGACGGACAAGTCTAGGTCGATGTAGAAAGTGCTTCTGAATTGACCCGATATAATAAAAGACGAGTATAGACTCAGTCAAGTCTTTCTGGCTTTTATGCCATGTAGACCATGTAGACTGTAACAAGGACTAACATATAAGGCGTAAACCGTCTGTCAAAGGCAGATCTAAAATGGAGTTTCGATGTATATAAATATTGCAAAAAAAGCTAAGTTGGTTAGATGGGAAATATAAAAGTCGCATCAACAAGAAAAGTTTTTTTAAACAAGGGTACAAGGTAGGATGAGTATCAAGTTAACTAAGATGAGACTGACCTGGCTAACGAGCAAAGAGTTTAGTTGGTTAGAAGAGGTCCGAAAGGCTAAGTTAGTTGAAGTATTAGGTGGAAGAGGAGTGACTGAAGCTGTCCTGGCGTAAAAAAAGATTAGATCGCTTGATAAGATACGAGTATAGATGGACTAATGCTAGGCAGATTACGAAGAGCTGGGCTTGATAGAAAATATTTAACCTATCTAGTTCGGCTATAAACGAGGTGGCTTGATAAAGAAGGTACACATTTGAAAGAGAGCTGGCAGGATTGCTAGAAAGAGTTGTCTTGGCTTTCATTAAAGATGATAACTATTAGTAAGAAATAGTTATTGACTAGTTTGACTCAAAGCTTGCCAAACTGGTTGGTCGGTACAAGCATGTATCTGTAAATGAGTGCTGGGCCGCTTAAGTTAGAAAAATATATAGCGAATGAAAGAGTGCTAGGAGGATTGCTGGAAAGAGCTTCATTGCCTCCTTAAGGTCAGCCGCGTTTGCTTTCTCGAAAGATGACAACTATTAGTTTTCGGTTGTTATGCTATTTATTTATTTGTTTTTTTTTTTTTTTTTTTTTTTTTTTTGAAACAGAAGATTGTAGAATCGATAGCGAAATGTAGGTAATTTTAAGTTGATTGTCATTGTTAAGGTATAATGGATTAATTGCCGCTGTGGTCTATTGCAACCGGAACATATTCCGTGAAAATTACACACAAAATATCACATTAAACTGCACAACACTGCGAATGCATTCTTCTTTTTTTCCTTTCATTATTTATTAAATTTCATGAATTAAATGCAATTAGTAATGCTTAATTGATATATTATTTTTTATATTTATTTTCATTATTTATTATTATCATTATTATTATTATTACTCTTATTACTTTATTTATTTATTTATTTTTTTTTTTTTTTGTTTGTTTATTTCTATGATTTGATTTTTATGTGTAACCCTTTAAATGGTTTGCCAACTCGCTCTTCCCTGTCTAACTGTCTCTGTAATTCACTTTCTATATGTGTGTTGTGTGCGTGTGTGTGAATATATATGTATCTACCTTTTACGGTTTCCCATTGAAACGAACCCCCCCCCTGGGTAAAAAAAAATCACAACCACAACAATTACGCTTATTTGCTAATCTACTAAAAAAAAAAAAAAAAACTACTGCCACCTTAAAAAAAAATATATTTTTTCGAAAAAAACTTTCAACACTCGTTTAAAAAACATACAACTAAAAAACAAAAAAAAAAAAAACTAACAAAATTCAAAATGATTGTAAAATAATTAAAACTGAATAAAATTGTATTAGGCACATGGCATGACTGTAAGTCCTGCGCCAATCACAATTAATCATCCGTATGTACATGCTAGTTATCCTGTTATACCAAATTATATGCAGGTAAGATTAATTTTTAATTTTTTTGTTTTGTTCCGTTTTTTTTTTTCTTTTCTTGTTTTCTTTTATTTTTTTTTTTGTTTTACTGGTTTTCGGTTTAATTGTTTTTTTGAGCTGAAGATTTTTTCTGTTCTTTCTTTTGGATGTTTCGTTTACTGTTTGAATTTTACCTTTCTTTTAATTTAATTTAATATGAAATGGTTTTGGTTTTAAGATAATAATTTGTTGTTAATTATCAAAAAAAAAAAAAAAAAAAAAATTAATAAGAAATAAAAAGAGTTCACCAGCATTGAAAAAAATAAAAAAGAAAAATTGGTTTATCTTCTTCACACCTCGTCTCCCAGCAGTCACACTCACGCTTTTTAGAAGAACAAACCTTGAAAAGCATTTAACTCTTAATTTAATTCATTTCAATATCCTAAATGTCTCCGCCCTCCACAAAATAAAAGCGTCTGCCGCATACCGCTCTATTAAAATAATTAAGTGAGATAATTTTTTTTTTTTAACAAATTATAATTAAAAATAATTTTTTTTTTTTTTTTTTAATTAACTTAACAATTAGTTTCGCCCTTTTACACGATTACTGTTTTGCTTTTTTTTGTTTGTTTTTTTTTTTTTTTTTAAATATATATATTTAATTATTTTGGTTTCTATAAGTCAAAAGAAAATTAGTCTAGCTTATGATACGTAGATTTTTATATATAAAAAAAATTTTGCATGTGTTCTTTTCAATTGTTTTTTTTTTTTTTCTAATAAAATATAATAAGTATTTCTTTTAATTATGAGGAATCCTCTTGATTTTCTTTATAATATAGCAGGGAATGCCGGTGATGGGTCAACCTATGATGGGCCAAGCCCCTTTGACTGGGGTAGTGCCGCCGACAATGACGACTCCACTGATGGTGCCCAGCAACAGTAATGTATCATCAACGGGCGTAATACCTTCCACCCAAACCATACAAAATATGATGCAAGCGAACGGTGGCAATAAAACTGTACCCTTAGATCCATTCGGAGCGTTATAAATCTCTTGAAATTAAACAAAAAAAAAAAAGTAGAAAAATATATATATATATATAGATACTACAAAAAAACTATAACACAAAAAATTATACACATTTTACCAATAAATAAAAAAAACAAGAATTGTTTAAATATATATTTAGAAAGCAAAATAAAACTGACAAAATGTTTATAATTATGTTGAAAAGAAAAAAAAAAAAAAAAAGAAAGAACATTATTGACTATGTATGTGAAGAAAGAAAATAATAATAATAATAAAAAAATATATATATATATATAAATAATTAAACAAAATTATATATATACATGTATGTAATTATAAGTAATATTTACACAACTTATACATACTATTACACATTATTACGTAACCACTATAAGAAAGAAATGTTGAAAAGCAAAAATCTTATACAAAATTTATATGAAAAAAAAAAAATTAAGTTTAAAATCAATAATTTTATCAGTTTAATAATAAAAACGGAAATAATATATATATATATATATATATATATATATATATATGTTTATAAATATAAAATATAATTGACAAGAATAATACCTACCTATTACTTTTACCCCAATGTAGTAAAAGCTCTGCTTAATCTCAGTTGTGTAAAATAACTGAAGAAAAGTAATTCTATGCGGAGTGCCACACTACGAACTATATACGCTTCGTTGACTTCGTTGATTTTCGCTTTCCCTTATCCGTAAATTAAAATAATCGCGAACGAAACTAAATTTTGCCTATTGATCTATGTAATTTGAGAATTGTAGATAAGTGGAGACGTAGACGGAAGAGAAAGCGATGCATGCAGATGGTAGACAAGACGGTGGAGAAAGAGATGAGTGTAGATAATAGAGAAACGCGTGAAAGCGGGACGCATGTAGACGGCAAACAAGACTAAATACACATAAAGGAAGACTGTGAGAAAGAGATGCATGCAGACGTAAGACAAGACTAAACAACCGGGTACGCTATCGTCTCTCGAAAACAAGGATAAGACCACAGTGTAGATATTTCTGGTGTCTTTTCGTTTTCTTGCTTGTAATTTATCCTATAATGGCTCGGTAATGATTAAAAAAACTTTTACTTTTCTGTTGGACACTTGTCTCTAATAAAACTTGTTAATGAAAACCTAGTCATTCCTACAACCATGTTGAAATCATGTTTGTTCTCTTCGATGGTATGGGTCGGACGGTCGGTCGGATCTAGTCATTCCTATAGGCATATTAATCATGTTGATTCTTTTAGGTTCTGTGGGTGTGTGAGTCGGTTAATCATTGCTACGGGCATGTTATTCACGTCTACTCTTTCGGACTGCATAGGCCGGTCGATTACGGACTGATAGATACACGAAAGCTATTTTTCCGAGTTTAGTCCAACGCTTCTTACTAGTACAACGGTAATTACATCTTTCATTTACTTGGACGTTAAGAAAGTGAAACGAATTTTGTTTATAGGTCAATGAATCACAAATCTCAAGAAATATTTTGTTTTAATAAATTTTATTCTTATACCGATTAATAGTCTGACTAGAATCATTCCTGATCCAGGTACTCTTCTATACCGCGAATGCTAACAACATTAGCTTATCGTGCTGTAGTAATATTGGGAACGTATCAGAATATGGATGACGGGTAACGTGACTATAAAGAACTTGAGCTGATTAACGTGTCAGTCAAGTTTATCTTTAGAAGAGGGCAGAATATAAGCGATTAAGAATGGGGGCGACTTATAAAATACAACAAAAATAAAAAAAAAAAAAATTTTAAAGAAACAAAACACATAGCACAGTAAATCCCTCATCTTAGTAGATTTTCTATATATATATAATGTAATTTATATTGAAATTTGTAAACTTATGTGTATTATCTTTTTCTTTTTTTGTTTTTTTTTCTAAGATAGTGATGTCTTAATAAAATAACAGTTTTTAGAATTTTTTGTATAACAATCAGTCTGGGCAACCATTGTAAAAAATAATTTAAATGATTATAATCGGTTTTAAACGTTCACTCATCTCTGTCCTTATTTCAAGACTAATTGCATTCAATTACTTGAATTTGTTTTTTTTTTTTATTTTTTTTTTTTATTATTATTATTTTTTTTAATCTCATGTCAGAATAAATAGATAAAATTGGAAGACGCACGGCCTTGTAAATAATCAATACGCGATATAATCATATAATCAATAATTTATCTAAGAATTTATAAATTATATAGTTAAAACATATTTGAGGCTTTCGATAGTCGTTGATTCGTTAAATTAATGATCTTAATATTTAGAAAATATATGTGAAGAGATTTCGCATTCCTAGGTGGAAGTTATGCAAGTCAATTGCTAAATTAACCAAGTCCGTCCTTTTTCCCAACATTTTCTATTGGTTTTCGTTTTCGTCCAACATTCTTGAATTAAGAAACAGCAACACTAACCTCGTACTCTGTTTTGTGTTGAATTAAAAGAAAAAAAAAACTTTTCAAAACGAGATTATTAAGAACGTGAGCTACGACTCTTTACGAGAAACTTGCTAACAATTCATTCCGCTCACTTTGTAACCTTCACTATATTTTCGAAAGAATGTTCGATTGTTAAGGAATCAATTTCGAACAGTCCGCCAATTTCTTCCATCTTTTTATCCTACATCACATATCTGGTATGGGATATATTAAGTTCGTGAGGATGGTTGCCACATATAGGACGATTTGAAATAGATTCCCCTCTTATTGTAGAAACATTTTCTGAATTGATCTAGGCTTGTTTGATCATCTGTCCAGGTATTTTATGCTCTACATAGAGGCCGCAATTTTCGAGATATTTTGATTGGTTCGAATCCCACCACCTATTCGACTACACCCAGCAAAAAATATTCGAATTTTTATAATTTTGCCATAAAAATCGCTTAGTAATAGTATTTCAGCATTCTAAATTGGCGTGAAAACTTTCCATCGGATGCAGCCCGACTTTTGAACTCCGCTATCTTCTATACTAATATATAGTAAAAAGGCAACACATCTCAAAGAAATTCGTTCATAATAATAATTTGTCGATGAAATTAACCTCACCGAATTTAAATCACATGGTTCTATTTTTCGGACCGCAACTCAACTCTTAATTCCAATGAAATATAAGTCGGCTTTGTACACTCTCATAAAAGCGCATTCTTCTTTCACGAAGATAATGCTATTATTAATTAAACAAAGTGGTGTAGGGTTTCTGGTCGGCCCTGCCCGACTATAGTATTCTTATTAGTTTTTCTTTTCTTGTTTGTTGTGATACATCTGATGCTTTTTATTTATTATGGCGGTTTTTTGAATTGAATAATACGTCAAGCCATTTCGTAGCTAATAGTTCGCTCTCCGAAGCAGAACTTTCTTCGTTCCGAATTAAAATTACTAAATGAAAATATGCGTTAACTTCAATCTGGCAAAAGTGCAAAAAAAAAACTTTGTTTTATTTGTTCATGAAAATTTATAATCAAAATTTTTCTTAATCAATCTAATTTTTTGTTTTTCTTTTTAATCTTTTTTAAAAACATGTATTAACTTGAATCTCGGCACAAAGCAATGATTTTAGTTTTAAATCGATGAAAAAGATTATTTTAAATTCAATTAAATATGTATAAATTTTTATAAAGTCTACATTTAGGCTTATAGAAAAATCTCTATATAAAGTATAATGTTGTGTGCAGGATAAAGTTTAAAAATGTTGTAGTCTACTATTATTTGTATGTTTTCATTTGCATTTCCTTTGTTTTTCAACTTAAATATAAATATAAAAAAAAAAAAAAAAAGTGTAATAAAATGAAAAATTATTTAAATATAAACTATGTCGAAAATTTTTTTTATATAGTAATAAATTTTTCTTTTCTTCTTAACATTTAAAATGACACGTGGTACATTTTATAAACATTTGCAAATACACCCAACTCTTTTGGTACACGGTGGATGATATATATATATATATATATAAGTTCCTTAGAAAACTATGCAAAAAGAAACTCGTTTAAAAATTACATTCGGCATAAAGATACACTCCACAACTTTAAAAAATCATTTACGATAAAAAAACTCGAAATTTTTTCCGAGAAAAACGTGTAAAAAAGGAATGAATAACATATTACCCGTTTATAAAACAAAGACAATTCATTTTTATGATAGTCCACACATAAAATATATAAAAATTGGAATTGAAGTTAGGAATAAAAATCAATTTGGCAATTCTCCACCGTTATCTAATAATAAGCGTGCACTTTATTACCGGTAGAAGTGTCATCCTTGAGTTAAGGATGCGTTCCGAGAAAGGCTGCGGCGTTGCCATTTATTATTTATTTATTTATTTTCTAATTAAATTTTTTTTAATGCTTCTGCAGTCTCTCTGAGCTAAAGCTTAATAATCAACCTCCTCAATTACTATTGCCATTGTTAACTTTCCTTCTATCCGAAAAAGTAAAAGAAAAATTTTTCAAGAAGCATCTTTTACTTTTAGACTCTTAGTGCTCTCTCTCCACTGCTTCTCCACTTATTACTCATAAGGTAAAGTCTGAACTTTTACTTTGATTAGAAAAAATTTGTCACGCCCACTCATTAATATATATCAAAAATTTATGTGGTTAAGCTTTTCATGCTCTTTTATCTATCATCTCTTGAGCCAATAGAGGGGAAAGAGATTATATATCGCAAAAAAAGAAATTGGCGATCGTAGAATGATAAAAGCAATCGTGGTGGTGGGTACACAAAATTCGACCCAAGCCGAATATAACTTTCTCACTTTGAACTTATAAAAATTGCCTTCTTTTTCAACGCCATGTTAAGTAAAAAAGTTTCAATGATTTTTTTATAAACAATGCTAAAGGAAAGGATTGTAATTTTTTCGAAATAAGTCTTGAAGATCTCGTGATATGTATTTATTTTTCATTAGCCTAAGATTCCTAAAAGAAAGTTTGAAACTTTTCCTGCAACAAGAATTATGACATAAAGAGATAAAACTTGTTAACCACACAGAATAACGTTAAAATCGGAAACATGATCCCTCTTACAATACGTAGTCAAGAGATTGTGTTATTACAGATTTATTTGA